ACTATCCGTATGTTGCTGTTGGCTGACGATTGTGCGTTGTTTGCACACAAAGCAGATAAATTGCAGCACATGCGTACTGCTCTGGCTTCGACAGCGACCAAATTCAAACTCACCCTCAACACAAGCAAAACTGTCTGTCTCTTTCAGCCTTCACCGGAGGTGCAATCTTCAATATTGCCGCGAATCAGCATTGGTGCTGAAGTATTGGAAAGCACCTCCCGCTTCTGCTACCGTGAGAGTGTGATGGCGACTGATCAGTAACTATATATTGAGCTGTGTATACGCGTGTCGAAGGCAGCGGCGGCATTCGGGAAGCTTGAGTACCGAGTGTGGAACAACCATCAGCTTACCATTGGCACGAAGCTGATGGTGTACAAATTCATGGTGCTTTCCGTTCTTCTATACAGCAGTGAAACGTGGACGATGTACCGGCGGGATGTGCGATATCTCGAGCGGTTCCATCAGAAGAGTTTGCGACGGATTTTCCGCATCACTTGGGGAGACAGAGTTGCAGACACGGAAGTGTTGCGACAAAGTGGAATGTATGCAGTGGACTGCATACTTTTGCTGAGACACTTGAGGTGGCTCGGTCATGTGTGGCGTATGGATTCAACGCGGATACCGAAGCAACTCTTATACGGTCAGCTGAGTATTGGGAAGCGGCATGTGGGGAAACCAAAGTTACGTTACCAGGACATGATCAAAGTGAGCCTATCACTCTTAATCTTGATTGCAGGTCATGGGAATCGAAGGCGGTTGATCGGCGTGCATGGCGCGATCTAATCACGAAGGCAGTTGCCGAAGTGCGGGAGAAAGCCCTCGTGCATGCAGAGAAGAAGCGACAAGTGCGGAAGCGGCAAGCACCGATGAGTTGTACTCCATCGACAGCGAGCGCATGGTGCTGTAGCACATGCGGTCGCGAGTGCCTGAGTCAGGCAGGCCTAGTGAGTCATGAGCGAGGCCACTCGGGACCACTACCGAAGCGACGACGGGTCCTGCAGAAAACAAAGGCAGAACCGGCACAGCGTTTGTAGGTACGCTGCATTAGATTTACTAATCGGGTGTTTGCATGCTAAGTCTATTGATTTCAAGTGGTGGGTTTTCAATTTTATCTCAATGCCTTTCTTAAACATATACATGTCTACCTGTGCTTTCTTCTATAAACTTGCATACGTCGCTTAAGCCAATTGTAGTCAATTTCGATAACATTTTCGCTTTTATGGCATTTCCGTAAAATATACTTTCTGAACTCGTGAACTTATGTCGGATTCTTTTGTAAACAATGTATTTCATATACTCATTAATTTAAGATTTATGTTACCGTTTCCTTATGCATTACTCGATTGAATTTCTTTGTTATCTTTCTCCCAAGTGATTGGTTATTGCTTGATATCCCGACAGACAAATCCGAAACCGGATGCCGCCAACCATGTACGTATGTGTGCTCCATGCTAAGACTGATGTTGCATTCATGATGCTTCTTCACCGCAGTTGGGCTAAACCAACTCACACTTAAACTAGGTCTTCTTAATGTGGATAAAATTCATTACATTTTATTTGGTTTGTTCTGCCAACTTGATAATCTTCTGTTAACTTGCACACCTCGCTCATGCAAATTGTGGTAAACTTGCGTAATTTTATCGCGTGGTATTTTTAATAAACTCCGACATTTTGTACTTATCACGGATTTACTTATAAACCAATTTCTTCTATATGCTCATTTAGCGACTATTTATGTCGTCACATGCGTTTACTTTATTCGATATCGGCATTCTGAATGACTGGCTGTTGTTCGACATCCCAGGTGTGGCTGCGCTTGATGTGCATGTTGACAAGGTGCCCACCTGTCTATTACCCACTACCTCATCCATCTGGCTCCAGGAGATAGTTGGTCATTGCTGGAGGGGACGGGGTGCACGGTCCTTGTGGTCGTGCTAGGCTCGAAGAGTGGTTCCATGCACTCAGTGTGGAGCGGACTACGGTTCAGCCACCGCCTTGTGTGCGCTTGATTCCTCAAATACAGCGTGTTTGTGTTTGCTGTGAAGAAGTGTGGGCCGGCTCCTTTGATGAAACGTGGCTCCCATCCACATGCCTCCCGGTCTTATTTCTTCGGGTTTACACTGAATATGGGGTGTGTGGTTGGAGCTGTGGGTGGTGCAGCGCAAGCCACTCGTGGTCCCTCTGTAGGCGCAGACGCCCTGTGGCTGGCCACAGTGACAGACAAATCCGAAACCGGATGCCGCCAACCATATGTAACTCCTTAGTTGTGATTTAACATGAACTCCGTCTGTTGAAACGGATGAACTTGTCTGTATATGTCTATCTTTTGCCTTTGATCGGAAAGCGCAGGACATTTGATACCATCAATGGCTCGCAGTCAGCGATGATCTAAGACTTAGAGGCTCTTCAGATACTCCACTGGAAGGGGGTCAACTCTCACTGCCATTGATATGTCGGCCCTCACTGGGGCCTTGTACACACGAACTTTCAGACGGAGGGAAATCCCCGTCTGACGCCAAAAATGTCGCAATAAGACAGTGAAGATATGCGTACGAGTTTCGCAGATAGATTCCATAGATGCCAAGGGAGTGAATAAGGGAAGTTAATGCTTCCTCTTGACTGATTCGAATTAAACTGCGGTTGCTGTAAAAACCCATAAGGAGCTGGACAAGTGATCTGAGGAGCGAGTTATTGACATTTATCGTAAAATCTTCGGAAGTCCCTTGCTCGTTAATCTGAGTTGAACAGATTCGAACGAAGGGACGGAAACCAATGAGCTTTGATGAAAACGTCATGTGAACAGGTGATACTCTCCTGTTGCACATTAGGAGAAAGGAGTGTTGCTAGAGAAGCCCTATCTCTCTAATCCTGGACCAAATAGACTGACCCACAAGGTGGTGCGGAGTCCGTGCAGCACATGAGTGGGGTCTCAGAGATAGTGAACTATGCTTGAGACCAGCAACAGTTAAAAGATGCAAAACAATTTATGAATGTGTTCCGGTGGTGGCAAGTGATACGTCGGAAATCAAGGTCTACAGTAAGTGAGTTTCGGCGGACTTGCGTCGAATTAACCAGGTGTCACGTGGTTTGAAGTGAGCGTAAAATGACGTTGAGTGGCAGGCGGTGTTCATCCACTGTCAAAGACAATGAGTGGTTCTTCTGATCAACGGTAATCCAACTGAGCTTAGAACCCGAAACTATTCCTTCATATGGTTGAGTCGGAGGTCCATCATGCTCTGTACACTCTCTGGTGAGTAGGGCACATAGCGTTTGATCCCTAAACATCGATCTGTCTGGTATGAGCAGCTACGGAGGCACAGAGATGTCGGCTGGCGTATCCCTGTGTATCACTTAAGTGCGCAGGCAAAGGTACCACGTTAAGGCTTGATTATTTTAAATATTTGCCTGTCTATGTCCCCCAAGATTTTACAAGCATTATTGGTGACGCCGAGTAGTGAAATAGTGTAACAGTTTGCCCAAGCAATAGTCGAGGCGAAATCAGTGTCGAAATTTAATACTTAGACACCCAATTTGCAGAGTGCAAATTTCTAGAGCGCATCGCGCATGAATAAGATATCGTCGCACAGTCAAATGGTGTTTACAGTAAGCGGTAATAAATGATGTTATTTCGCGTGAGTGCTCGATAGTATATCGATGGAGTAACATAGAAGGACGTCTTCTGGCTCCCTATCTACAGTATTCGGCATTTATCGAGGAGGTGAGCCAATGCAAGTCCAATGAAATTCTGGGAATCGACCGTAGGTGATCACTTGAACCATAGATGGAGAAAATGAATTGTATTCACGAAATCGACCAAATAACCGTAGAAGTAAACCAAATCACAGCCGATGTTGCCCTAGACAGTATCTGTGAGCTCATTGAAAAGAAACACCGAAAGTTGGAACATCTAACTATCCGTTCAACATCATTGTACATATTAGCTAGAGGTAGGAAACCCCTCAGCTATTGTGCAGCAATACAAGAGAAAGGAAAAAAAACGATGCATCATAGGCACGCCGCCTGAAACACCAGTAACGGATGAAGACCGTTCCGGAGAGACAGCAGCCGACTATAGTGCCGCAAGAAAAATAGCTGTATCATGAGTCAGAAATGAGATCGTGGTTGGAGGGGTAGGCTAAGTGAGGGGGAGGGACAAAAAAACCCCAACAAAAACGCCACTGAGGTTGGATACTAGACATATCAACAAGTGTATCCAGTTCGTGAAGTAACTGAGTCAGGAACACTGATTCAGACGACAGCCCACTTAGAGTTGTAGTTGGAAAGTCTGTCGATGCATAACAGGAAAAAATACGATGTTTGATGAGTAGTGGTGAGTAAGACTGCGCACTGAGGTATGGTGACTGCAAATGGTATAAAGACAGTATGAACTTGACATCGCGAAAAGTCAAGGATGTGTTCCAAAGATCGAAAATTGCAGGACAGTACGATAGTGTCGTTCATGCTTTCACCCAGCAGACTTCAGTCAGTTGCTCTCCGGGTAACGTGACCGATCACGGACTGGAAAAAGCGATCCGCTCTTTAATTCAGAGTCCCAGCGACGCAAGCATGGCGAGAATGCATAATGCGTACGAGTATGACCAATTGTGATGAGACGAGAATAACATAGATAAAGAGCAGAGGCGCAATACAAGTGCGAAACAGAGCGATAGCAAAATTTGACTTAAAGGCCCTGACCCCCTACCTAACTCCGGATAGAAGTACGCAGTTGGTGTGTAAATGCGCGGTTTCTGCCTCCCCCAAATACTGAAAAGCGCTGAATAGCCGTTTTAGTCTCGGGAAAAGCAAGAAATAATAGGTAAATTCGAGAATATAGGGACCACATCGACTGGCTAGATGGGAAAAAGCTATGAGACAGCCCACGCAATCGCGAAGAAAAATCAGGTAGCGAACGTTGCCCGAGTTATCAATGGTTACAAAAAGTGAACTAGACAGATTTCAAAGTTGCTAATCCGAATTCCGTCAGAAACGACCGAACTCACCGACTAAGAACTTCTTCAAGCCACAGCTTATCTTGTTGGGAGGCCGCCTGAACCACTTCCCCGGCAAAGTTGTCAGTCGTTTCCGACACACAGTTAGGCAGAGACGGGATATTTTCTAAATTAAAAACATATATGAAGATGCTATGTACAATGGATAGATACGAACAGCAAAACATGGCGGGAAATTGCAGACGGTATACCAAGAAGCCTCAAGGAACGGAAAGTGAGTCACCATACGGGGTATGTGATGAGCAGACTGGTAATTCTCTAACGCATAAAAAACTGAACAGCGATGAAAAAAGACCAAGTTGGTGGAGATAAAACTGGTGATTCTTTAGTGCATGAGGCAATACATAAGCCATCCTGCTGACGATAAACCAATGGAAACAGCTTACTAATGCTCTGTAATATAAAATGAAGGGGTTCAAAGTGAGAAATGGTATGCAGTTATTTTATGAGCAGAAAAACTTTCAAGTGCATAAAGAGATAAAAGCGAAGATGCCCATCATAAATTAAAAGAAAATGGGATGACTAAAAAGGGAATAGGAACGAGAGGGGAATAATATGCAACAGCAATAACACAGAAAGCGGTCCCACCAAAACTGAAACAGTGCTCGACTATGAACAGCCAATTTGACGGAGCCTATTCGAAAATATGACACAATCCAATGCGAGCTTATGTGGCAGGAAGCATTGTCATTTAGCCAGCATGGTTAGACTGTGCGCAGAATTTGTGATGAGTATAAGTCGAACTGTAGGGTAGACAAGGCGATAGATAACACCTGGCCGAAATCGTTGGTATGGGAGCAGCACGTGACCAGCACAACAAGCAAAAGCAGACAACAACTGGTTGACCATAGTAGGTTCTAAGTGGCCACAACATGGATGGTCAAGTTTACCTGGTCACTAACCGTCAGACATTCAGAAGTTAGTCATGTTCTATACAACTGTGTATGCATTCAATTTTCAAAGCACTTTGGGCGATCTTCAGACTAAACTGGATGTTGTTCAAATTTAACTGAGCAGTTTATTTTTGATAAAGAACGAAACGGCAAAACAAAGTTAATGAAGCGGGTTGTCTTGCAGCGTTACCACTTGACACTCTGCCGGTGGCCGAGTGGTTTGCACGGCTGACTTTCAATCATAAGGTCACCGGTTCGAAGCCGCGTAGGGGCGGGTGTCCTCGCGCGACAAATGGTGGTCGCGCGGTAGCGAAGTTTCTGGATGACTGCACCTAGTTGCTGCTCAAGTACCATGTCGGTCGGTAGACAGTCGGCCAACGCCTCAACCTTGGAAACACGTTTTCCGCCGAGGCTACCGAGTAGAAGTAAGGTAAGAAAACATTCTGCCGACAGAGCAAGTTCAGCATCCTCTTAAGAGCGTCTGTCATGTAGATCCTGGTGTTATTCGTGATCAGTTACGTGCTACTCATATCCACTCCGCGGTGTATACCCATCGCAAGCTGTTAAAGGAAAGTAAGTAACCTCTTGCCATTACAGGTGCCATCGTTGATGATCTTTACTTTATCCATGGCCGAAATTAGCAGTTCTAACCGTGGGTGAAATAAAGTTTCTGTGCGTCACTCTTGCTGAGCAAACTTGCGTCCGTTGCAGATGAAGGTTGAATCCGTTCTCATGAAAGAAGACGCACTGCTTATCTTGTGTTCGGTTGTACCGAGAAGTCGAGAGCATAGGTCTTCCGGTATGTGATTATCGTGGCACTGTTGACGCGGTCGGTCTCGTCGTGGTGCCTCTTAGCTTGTTTAGGGTGTTGAAAATTACAGATTCGGAAATGTGAATCTCGTTTTCTTACAGTCGTTGCTGTGTCTGCAACAAAGTATCAGTCGAATGTCGCTGAACAATCACGTCCATATGCTGAAGGACACCAGGAGTCAGCCACCTTTCGTCATTTCCTACACCGTTGTAGTGAACAATGGCACCCCATTGTCTAAGATATTAAGGATATGCCCTGCCGTGCTCTCGTTGACATCAGTTACTTAAGCAGCCTCGTGGGTGGTTTCGTTGTCGACCAGTTTAACTAGATAAGAATTTCGTTCTGCATCAAGGACGTCCGCGCATGCAACATCGGTGCCTCAAATACGCATGTAGCCCTCATCTGTTGCTCATTCTTGGCCGTTTCGTTAAGTAACAGACCAGTTAGTTGGGTCATGGCAGGCGGTAAGGTTCGTGTACACACACACAAACATACGATCACACAATATATGAGCAATGACAGACTGACGGCAGAAAACCGGATCAGCGCCTTTGATGGAGGTGAGAAACGCTTACAGTAAAGTCAACTCATGGTTGTGGTAAGAGAAGTGCCTGCAGTAGCACATTCTATGTGCACAAATCGGGTTGCATTAGCCTACTCGCAACGCGGTCTAGACATAGTGCATTTGATTTGAAAAACGTACTAGGTATCATGAAACCCGTGGTTTAAAAGAATTCCACGTTAAAGTTGGTGTTGCATACATCATGCTTCTTCATCGCAGTTGGGCAATACAAATTTACACTTCATTTAATTTGCTCAGTTCTGTTATTCTACTACATATTCCGTGACAGCCTCGCGCGTTTAATTTCTTTCGAACTCTGCGCTGGTTGTTCGATATCCCCGGTGGTTGCGCTTGATGCGAATATTGGCAACGTGCCCACCTGTCTATCAATCTTTATTTCGATGAATGGCTCCAGGAGACTGCAAATCGCTACTGGTGGGTGTACGGCCCTGAGTAGTACCCTCAAGTGTGGAGCGAAATGCGGCCCATCCACCGCCGTGTGTACGTTTGGTAGGCATGATTCCTTACATAGACAGACGGTAATGTAACTGTTGTGTATATTGAAGGAGTATGGCCCGGCTCCATTGATGAAACGTGACTCCCATACACATGATTTCCGATCTTATTCCTTCGGGTTTACAATGGATATGAGGTGGGTGAATGGAGTTGCTAGTGGTGCAGCGCAAGTCACCCATGGTCACTCTGTAGCCCCAAGTACCCTGTGGTTGCCCTATGGAAGTCGCAAGGATATATATATATATATATATATATATATATATATATGCTGAGGCTGATGTTGTATTCATGACGCTTCTTCACCGCAGTTGGGCCAAACCAACTTACACTTAAACTAGGTCTTTTTAAGCTGGATAAATTTCATCCCACTTTATTTGGTTTGTTCTGCCTAGCTGACTAATCTTCTATTAATTGGCCACGTTTCGTACGCTAACTGTGGTTATCTTAGTTAACTTTATTGCGTTTGCAGAATTTTTTCAGTAACTTCCGGACATTTTTTCCTTATACCAGATTAGTTGTTAACCAACTTACTTCATATGCATATATATCCGTTTGGATTCATGGGAACATTGAGAGCAGGAGGGAGAATTCTTGGCAGCTCCATCAGTTCCGAATCATTACAAGATAGGTGCCAGCTGTCGAAAAACTGTACTCCTTCGGAGATTGTCACCATTAAAGTAAGAGCAGCAGTATCCTGCCAGATGCGTTATATGAAAGCCTAACAATCGCTTGAAACTTTCGTCTGCCTGCGAATCAATGATGTGTTTCGACAGACTGTCCCAGTCATTTACTACCCTAAAAGATAGAGCAGCTTGCGGACGGGCGCGAAGTGTCCTCGGCCTAAATAATTTTCCCTTGTGGCCACGTGTCGAGCTGCCCACATTGAGATGGAAGAATTGTTGAAGCTCACCTCAAAAGTCTCCCCTTATGATGCATCTGGTATAGAGGAGATCTCCGAGACGCCGACGGGATTCCATTGAGAACAGGTTCAACGTCTTAAGTCGAAGAGTGTATGGGAGATCCCGAAGCTCCGATATAGATTTTGAACCGCGCTTTTACATCTTGACTATCAGAGCATGTTCAGATTTCGTTAGGAGTTAGGCGGCCGAAAGATAGTATGGTAGAATCGGACGAACATGCGAAGCGAATGGGGTGCAAAAAATCTCCAGGGAAGTTTTGCAGAACGACCTACGCAAAGTCCGAAACATCCGGTTGGCTGTCGCGACCTCCTTCTGCATGTCAAGGGATGTCTTGAGATTGTGCGAGACGATGACTCCCAGGTCCTTTTCGTGTGTGACAGAGTTGAAGAGATATCCTCTGATATGATACGCACCGAACGGATCCGGGCCATCAATCGGAAGAACGGCAGATGTGTCACGGTTTACCGAGAGTAGCCACGCAACGGACCAGTTGTGCAGCTGGTCAAGAGAAGCTTGGAGTCTGTCACCCCCGAGGCAATATATTTCTGACCACAGTTTGAGGTCATCCGCGTAGACTACATAGTCGGTTTGCATTGTCGCTGGAAGATTGTTAATGCATAGTTTGAAGAGCTCTGGTCCAAGGACAGAGATTTGGGGTCCCACAGAGACGGAGTGTTTGATTCACCTTCAAGTGAATGGTTCGTGCTTCCAGGAAGTCTGAAATCCAGGACAAGACGTTTCCGGTGACACCAACTCCCTGAAGTTTGAGCAGAAGCCGTTTGTGTGGCACTTTGTCAAATGCCTTGCTAAAGTCAATGAAGACGACATTAAGGCGTCTCCTCTCGTTTGTTGCTTTAACTCATGCTTCTCTAGCAGGAAGCAGATTAGTGATGCAGGATCGTGTCCTGCGTAATCCGAGATGTGAGGGGGAGAGTACGCATGTACGTGTGCGTGTTGAGAGCGCGCTTGATTATTCTCTCCATGGTTTTGCAGACAACAGACACATGGGCCGGTATTTCGCAGGACCCTGCCGGTAGGCACCTTTGTATTTAGGCATTAATACTCCTACTTTCTAAACGCCAGGTAAGCGGCCCTCCGCAAGTGAGAGCCGGGATACTTGGAAGATTGGATCGGCGATGTACTCAGCCGACATCTTGAGGAATAGTGAGTGTAGTCCATCAGGCCCTGGTGCGGAGTTGGGTTCAACGCACGGATTAGTCACATGACCATCTCGATGGTAATTTCAATTGCTCCACAGTTGGGGAGCACGTGGACACATCGTTGTTGGGCAGCGGTGGCTCCACAGAGTAGACTGCTGAGTACAGCGAGACCAGTATATTGGCTTTCTCGACATCGTGACGGAGTACAGCGCTTTCTCCAGGGGCAGATAGAGAAGGGATACCA